GTAAAGCCACGCGGAAGAAATACAATGTATTACCCCCTGTAAGAGCCCGTACGGGAGGAGCAAGAAATAACGCCGGAACCACCCGCCCAGTGAAAGGGCGTAACTGGACGAGGAGAAGAAAGAGAGAAGTCCCGTAATGGCCGGTAACCTGGAAAGGAAGAAAGAGGTGAAAATGCGGTAATGGCCGTACCTCTGGAAGAGAGAGGAAAGATGAAGTGCCGCGTAATGGGAACCGGAGAGCTGGAGAGCAGGAAAGGGGAAGTCCAGAAAGTAATAACCCCGTAACCAGAGAGAGCACCACACAAAGCAGTGTATCGCACATACGCGCAATACATTCGCTGCATCATGGCGGTTGAATTATGAGTACCTGATTAATTATTCTACCGTGACTTGCTGCCTCATGGCAATTAAATAAATACCTGGTAATTAATCGTATACCTGACTTGCCGCATTCATGGCGTATATTATAGATACCTGTTAATTATACTTACCTGACTTGCCGCATCATGGCGGTTATATTATGACCTGTAAATATTATCTTACCAATGACTTGCAGGCATCATGGCGGTTATTATAATACCTGTTAATTATCTTACCTGACTGAGTGCAGATCAGAATGGCAATTAATAAACTACCTGTTAATTATCTAACCTTGACTTGCCGCGATATCATGGCGGTTATTATAATACCTGTTTACTATCTTACCTGACTTTTGCTGCATGCAGGCAAATAATAAATCGCCTGTTAATTATCTACCTGAACTTGCCTGCCATCAAATGGCGGTTATTTATACCTGTTAATGATCTTACGCTGAACTTGACCAGCATCAGTAGGCAATTAATAATACCGTGTTAATTACTTACCTGATTTTGCGCGCAATCAGTGGCGGTTATGTAGTAAAGAGAATAGCCTATTACATGATCCTTACTGCGATTGCAGCATCATGGCGAATAATAATACCGCTGTACCTATCCTTTACCTAGACTTGCCGCATCATGGCGGATTATTATAATCAACGCTGAAATGTGTTAAGTAATCTTAAACACCTGACTTGCCGCAGTCATGGACAATATAAATATATAAACCGTAAGTTATCGTTACTGAACTAGAGCTGCCGCATCATGGCATTAATAATACCTGTTAATAACTTTTAACCCTGAACTTGCGCATCTAAATAGCGGCAGTATGATTAAATACATACCATTATTAATGAATCAAGTAACCAAAATGATTGCCAAGCAGGCATGGCGGTTATTTATAAAAGTACCTATTAAATGATCTTACTGACTTGCAGCATACACGGCAATTAAAATAATAGCACTGTTTTACTATCATACGCCCTAAGACTTGAGCCCGCATCAATGGGCGGTGTATTAATAGATACATGTTAATGATCTTACCGTGAACTTGCTGCCAGGTCATGGCAAATTAGATAATACCAGATGTTTAATGTATCTCACCGTGACTTGCTGAGCATCAAATGGCAATTTAAGAATTAATACTGTTAAATTATCTTACGCGTGACCTTGACAGGCATCAAATGGCGGTGATTATAATACCTGTTAATATATGCGTTACCTGACTTGGCAAATCATAGGCGGGTATATTATAAGAAAGACCGATGATTAATGATCTTACGCATGACGTATGGGCACAGCAGTCATGGCAATTAATAATACACTAGTTGTAATGAACTAACAGAGAGAGAGAGGAACTTGGCCACAATCAGTGGCGGTTATTATAAAAGTAAGCGAGCTGTAATGTATTCTACGCATACTTGGCTAGCATCAAGGAGCGTAGGTAATGATAATACGGCATGTTTAATAGAGCGTTACCCTAGACTTAAGATAAGATCTGAGAGAGATCGCGCGCGGACTGATCATCATCCAGCGACGACATCGGAGAGCGCACCTTGATCGAAAATAAAGCTGCCGATCGGGTGCCAGAGGAGCACGGTAGTATCGTTTACCAGAGAGAGAGAGAGAGAGAGAGAGAAGAGAGAGACAAGAAGAGAGAGAGGGAGAGAGAGAGAGAGAGAGAGAAGAGAGAGAGAGAGAAGAGAGAGAAGAAGAAGAGAGAACTCAGAGAGAGAGAGAGAGACGAGAGAGCAGGCGTAGCCATCTCAGAGACACGACAAGAGCGAGGTAGCAGAAGCAGTAAATACCCACGAATGAAGAGCATGACTAGCGGGAAGCGTATGAGAGGCAATTCACGCTGATGAGCCAAGTCTCGAAAGAGATCATACTCTCCTCTCCGCGATCGCTCAGCTCTCGTGTGCGTCCCTCTCTCGATCTCTCTCTCTCGGGGGTTGTGTGCGTCGTGTGTGTGTGTTGTGTGTGTGTGGTGTGTGTGTTGGTGTGGTGTGTGTGTGTGATGTGTGTGTGTGTGTTGTGTGGTGTGTGTGTGTGCGTGTGTGTGAGGTAAGATCATTAACAGGTATTATAATAACCGCCATGATGCGGCAAGTCAGGTAAGATAATTAACAGGTATTATTAATTGCCATGATGCGGCAAGTCAGGTAAGATAATTAACAGGTATTATTAATTGCCATGATGCTGCAAGTCAGGTAAGATAATTAACAGGTATTATAATAACCGCCATGATGCGGCAAGGTATTGCGCCGATGTGCGATACATGTGTGTGGTTGGGGGGGGGGTAATACGGTACCAGTCGGTATTACCTAGCTGACTTCTCTAGTAACCACACGGACCATTAGTTATGTGCCTGATTATGGAACATGCATGGTGATTGCTGTGTTATGCGTGGTAAGGTTTGGTACCTGCTTAGGGTGTTGATTATTGAAGGTCGAGTGGATTGTTATGTGATGAAGATGGATGATGTAGGGATAGTACCTTGTGTGGTCCATTTAGAAGTGACGTTGAATATTCGATATAGTCCCTTTCTTTCTTTTTGCGCGTATGTTGGTCTGATTTATTGGCAATTACCCCGACAACGTGGTCGCATAGTTAAAGAGGTATGAGATATTATTATTATAACAAAGTGGTACAAATTACATCAGTCGAGGATATTGCGTACGGTGATGCTGATAGAAATAGCAAATTTGCCATCTGAAATGGGATTAGGTCTGACAATATTACAATAACTCTTCGACCATAAAATGGGAGAAATGAAATTCAATTACGTTTTATCAGTGTATTCATGGTTATCTATCCGGGTGCACCGGTCCACGAAGCGCATGCACGTGTGTGTGCGTACGTGCGTACGTGTGTGCATACGAGTGTGTGTGTGTGTGTGTGTGTGTGTGTGTGTGTGTGTATGTGCGTGCGTGCGTGCGTGCGTGCGTGCGTGTGTATGTTATTGAATTTACGGGTAATTTTCACACGTGTCGGTTTGCTGCGCCGTGGTAATCGCCGCCATTGCGTATCTCTCTCCCGTCTGCGCGGTTTCTTCAAAACCTACGTCATTTACAAAATTCACAAACGTCATTTGTAGGCCCTAATAGCCTTTATTTTCGCAAACAATCCGACATTGGCCAGAGACTCAAACTAACTCAAATAAATAAAAATGAGTACCAGATAAACGAGTGCACCGTATACCGCTATACGAAAACTGACGTCATTGAGGTAATCCACCGGAATTCGCTCAATGACCAATCAAATGACTTGTAGCATTTTAGTATAACTACAGTTACATACCCAAACACCCGCTCACGTACGCGCATGCGCTCATGTCACCTTTACAGAACCGGCCGTAGGTAACTTCACGATAGAAGGCACGGAATACCCGAAGACGTACGTGGACAGTGGCGGCATCATCGTTAGGGAGCAGCCGCATCATGACATGCCCGTGCACACGCGAGATGGGTCTTCTCCTGGTGAGTGCGATTTGAGAGAGAGAGAGAGAGGGAGAGAGAGAGAGAGAGGGGCAGAGGGGGAGAAGGAGAGAGAGAGGGGGGAGAGAGAGAGAGAGAGGGGGCGGAGGGGGAGAAGGAGAGAGAGAGGGGGGAGAGAGAGAGAGAGAGAGAGCGCGCACGGGAGAAAGCGTGAGAGGCAGCGGTAGAGGGAGATAGAGACGGCGCTGCAACAAAGCTTACAAAGTTGCGCCTCCTTTGTTTACGTGTTGAGCTGCTAGGAGGCGCTACTACTTCTCACTGGCTTTCTCAGAACAACGTTCAGTTAGCATCGCGTGCAGGTTGGCTTGGTTAGGCGGGGTGACATATTGAGTGCACTCGCAATGATCAACATGTTCTGCTTGCATCTATGACAGATACGACATACGCATATACGCTCTCCTATGACACTGTTTGTCATAGGAACATTCTTCCTATGACAAATATTGGCGAGTCAACTTCGTTCCGCTTTACAGCTGAAATTCACTGCTTGCGTTCATAATAGCGCTCCTCCTATGATGCGCACAACACATACAACAATATTTGTCATAGGAAGAATCTTCCTATATTGTCATAGGAGAGCGTATGCGTATGTCGTATTTGTCATAGATGCTAGCAGAACAGGCTGCAATGATGCAATCTTTGTGATCTTGTGCGGCTGATGAGATGCCTCGGTTGAGCGCGTCATTCTCTAAGTTTGTTTAAGCGTGTATGTAACTCGAGCTTCTCTAATCGCGCGCAAAAGAAAGATGACTCAGGTTTAGTGACAGTAACATAATCACTGTGTATAACACGTGCTTTCGCGTCTTAAACGAAGGCGACGTGATCTCTACTGCAGAGTGACAACTTACTTGCTCTTACTCAGTACAACGATCAATCGCTAAATAAAAACTTCGAAAAAATCGACGCATCCGTCGGTGACAAATAGTTTCCAACCCATTCCCAATTATTACACGTTACAAGTCTTCTACCGCAATCAATAATCAATCAATTAATCATCGATAATCTCGTGATGATAGGTGATGGATCGACGCATCCATCAGTGACGTCGAACAAGGAGAAGGATGCTTTTCCTGATAAGTACATCGGCATCATTGTCGGCGTGCTGGGAGCGCTGCTGATGCTCATATTGCTCGTTGTCGGCCTGATCATGATCCGCCGGACGCTGCGCCGTAAGATCAACAACAACATGCTGAAGGAGAAACGAATCACCATCAACATGAAGGTAAGAGCTGCCTGCGTATGTGTGTGCGTGTCCGCGTGTGTGCGTGTGTGCATGTGTGCGTGTGAGCACGTGCGTGTGTGTACGTGTGTGCGTGAGTGAGTGTGTACGTATTTGTGTGTGTGCGCGCGCGCGTGTGTGTATCTGTCCGTCTGTCTGTCTCGTTCCCTCTATGCAACACTTTTTTTTCAATTTCGTAGTATTTCGAGTTCGTAATGTTGCCGGTGGAGTTACTGCTGCCGGAGTGTATCTACCCTCGCTAAGACTAACTAGTGCGCTGTCTTCTAGGATATGACGATGAATATCGCATCGCGCAACTCAAACGGGAACTTGTACGGCAGCGTCGCGCTGGAAGACCCGGAGAAGCCGATATATCAGGATCCGGAGACGGTTGTACAGGGCCGCAAGCTGCCCGAACCACCGAAGCACATGATTCCGTACGGAACCATGCCGGCGGACATGAGCCCGGAGTTTGCCGGTAGGTGGCATGACGTCAGTGTGCATCTTTGCTGTCTCACTAGCGTGTGTGTTCATGGTACGCTGTGTTGGCATGTGCTCGCCTGTGACTGTGTTACATGAGCTACACTGCTACGTTTAAAAGAACCCTTTCAATGTCGTTCCTCGCTATTATGCGGTTAACTATATAAACGGGAAAAATACAGGCGAGTTGATCGCGACGGCGCTGCCATGACATCACAGTGACGTCACAATGACGTAGCCCGTTAATGTTGACCCATAATAACAGGAATATTGTTTGCGGTGTCGGTGATTGATGTTGTAGCTGCTAGGCATATGCGTGGGATTGTACTAATGGCTTGGTTACGTGTTCATGCATTCTTGTTGCTATGCGCTTGCTAATGACTGCCACTAAACTATTTCTAAGATTCCTTGCTGGCTGTGTATGGGAATATTAATTCGTTGATATTTGAACTTCAGTTACTCTATGCGTAGAGCTAGACGTCTCAAAACGTAGCTTAGAATCACCCACTCTTAAAAAAAATGCATCACTACTAATGACTATCTACACATAACTATTATTTCCCAGTTAAGTGTAATCTCTAGTGCATGATATTATGTTACAGAAATAGACAAGATTTATCAAATCATAATAAGGTGTAAATAAATTACTTTATTATAGTATAAATAGAGATTAAAGATTCGTACAGGGTCTCGTGCCTATTAAAATCAGTTATCAGCCGTTTCCTTAGCACTCTCTTCATTTTCTAATCACTCTTTGACGATATTGTTCCACCCCTCACTATCTCTCTCTCTCTCTCTCTCTCTCTCTCTCTCTCTCTCTCTCTCTCTCTCTCTCTCTCTCTCTCTCACTCCCTCTCATCTCCTCACTTTCTTGCGAGCTTTCTCATGCGTGCTTACTCTCCTTCTCTCTCTCTCTCTCTCACTCTGTGCAGCACTGGACTAACACATTGCTTTTCCTGTTTGCTGCCACCAATATAGCTAACATGGTCAGTGATCTGCCCATGAAATATGACATAAGCACCAGCAGAAAACTTCCCCCAGCCCCGCCCAGAGTTCCCCAACGAATAGGTAAGTGCTGCTGCTTCTGCTGCTGCTGCTGCTGCTGGTGTTGGTGGTCAGGGTGCGATTAAACTATATGTCCTCTGCATATCGCTTATGTAATCCCGCACACACTGCTTATATATATATATATATATATATATATAGATGTATGTATATATAATTGCTTGTAGATGGTGCGTGTACGCTTGTCTGTTTTCTCTTCTTGCTGTGGATCGTTTGTGGCAGTTGTAAGGAGCGTTGCCTACTCCCAGGTTTTATGTGTGTAATATAATGATATAATATCAAGAATGAGATGATCTGACCCCTAGGGAGTTGGTATCACGCTACACTGATATAGTATATATGTATATATTTCATGTGTATAGGAAACTCTAGCTAACATGTTATTCAGCACTTGTTGCTGAAACGAGTTGAATTTAATACGCCGTCACCACGTATTATAATTAACTGGGTATTTCAGAATCGCGAGACATGCCCATTTCAAGAGAGTATGCCATCCCAGACCTTGCCAAGGCGAATGGTGTCAACACAGTGAATGGTATCAACAAGACCCTACCAACTAAGATGATCATGCCTCCCAAGCCAAGCGAAGTTCTCGCTCAGCACTATGCCGAATCGGAACTATTCAAGATACAGAATATTCAAGGGGTGAGTTCAATCTCACAGTACACGTGTGTGCGTGCGTGTGTGTGCGTATTTGTGTGCGAGTGTGTGTGTGTGTGTGTGTATGTGTTGTGTGTGCGTAGTGTGTGTGTGTGTGTGTAGTGTGTGTGTGTGTGTGTGTGTGTGTGCGCGCGTGTGCGTGTGCGTGTGCGTGTGTGTGCGAGTGTGTGTGTGGTGGATTTTAGACATGAGTCAATTTACTCCAGCTGAACACGGTATATATCACTGAATACAGGAGCCATGATCTTTAGCTTGGATTCTCCTTAGTATGGTTGGATGGCCTATATGTAACGGCAGCACTTGTGTGAACTTGAGCTCTTGTGATGGCATATGTTGCTTGCGTTCATGAGGCTTCTATAATTTTGAGTTGCCCATATCTTTGTAGGTGATTCACTTCAGCTTAGCATGGTATATATATATATATATAATTTTTACTTCGCACTCTCGTGCTTAAACTGACTAAAATTGTAGGCCTACTTATACATGTAATTATTTTCTTTTATAACGATGTACTCTGTATTTATGTATGTCTTGTGCACAAATAAACAGTTTGAAATCTTGAATCTATATATATATATATATATATATCAAGAGTCCATAATAGAAGACTATGGACAAGATAGATTTCTATTATGGATATATTTATTTATATATACATGCTTTTTAGTATGGTTGGATGGCTTATATGTAATGGCAGTACTTGAGCTCTGTGATGGCATATGTTGCTAGCATTGAGGCTTTTATAACATTGAGTTGCTTTTGTAGGTGAGCGGCAACTGCGTGTATGCCGTGCCCGGAGACGTCATTCATTGTAAAGAAGAGGTGCCTGTGCCGGAGTTTCCACGACAGAACCTACATTTTGTAGAGAAGCTGGGAGAGGGTCAATTCGGAGAGGTAAATTGAAGGACCGTCTTCAAGCAACCACTCACTAAATCCCTATCTGTAGTATCACTCTTTCTGTGACTGTCTACCTTCCACCATAGGCTTGTTTTCTCTGCAACCAATTACTATTAAAATCATGCTCGTTTCTGATATTTCAAGTGCACAGTTCTTGTACTAATTCGCTTATATTTTTTTTTTTTTCTTGATTTTATTTTTATTTTTTATATATTATATTCTTTATTCTACCACGTTTAGGTTCACCTGTGTGAAGCAGAGGGAATGTCCCAATTTGCTGACGTACCCTGTACTCCGACTAGCTCATGTCTCGTTGCTGTCAAGCTACTCAGAAAAAATGCTACAGACACCGCTAGGTAAGTGCCAAGCTGTTTTAAACACCTGCGTTTACAGTGACTTTCTCGCAGAGTGAGTCTATAGTTGTACCCGGTATAGTAGTAGAGTACATAGTATAGGGCCATAGGCTGCTCTGCACAACACTATCTCCATGACACCAAGTAAAACAACAGCCAACAACTTGGCCAAAAGAACATGTTGCATCTACATGAACTAATGCTCTATGTGTGCAGGTTGCATTAAACGCATATGTTGCAATTGCTTTATTTTTACACTGTCACATTTTTGTTTGTAAATGTTTATCGGTGCAATATGGCAACTTGAGAACTGATAACACCGGGTCTACATGAATGAAGATGTCATGAATAGAGATGAATAGAGAGGTATTGATAACCTCACAGCAGGAGTAAATAAAAACATATTTGTATTTATTCACTGCTGATCACACCATAATACATAATAGACGATGGCACCCCTATATAACATTACAATAATATCAGCAGTACATAAATAGAGCTCTCTATTCATGTACTCCTGATAATATCACGAGACAATATAATGTACAAATAACTGATAATATACAGAACAAATTCGTTTTACGTCTAATGATTTCGCATGTCGATCAAACCACGTCTCACTGCGCCACCTGGCGGCCGCGTGTGCTTCAGGCAGGACTTCATGAAGGAGGTTCGCATCATGGCCAAGCTTCAGGACCCGAACATCGTGCGCGTGCTCGGCGCGTGCATGAACACCGACCCGATCTGCGTCATCGCCGAATACATGGAGAACGGAGACCTCAACCAGTTCCTACAGGACCACGACTACGAAGACAAGATGACGGAAGCCACCGGAGTACAGACATTGGAGTAAGTTGCGCTAGTCTGAGTGTTAGTAATATAGTGGTTAAGTGTTGGTGAAGGGGCGAAGGAAGTCACCGAGTTAAAAATATATAGTGATGAAGAGAGTTGCTCGGGCTTGAATTAGCTACTCGTGGAGTGGAGAATCAAGGTTTAAACAGGAGCACGGGGACTAGATTACATCTCCGAATTGGGCTGTGAAGCGTGTAAATTGGCGATAAAACATGTAAATGAAATTAATCGTTAAGATCGCCCTCCTGGGGTTGAAGTCAGCTGTACAGAAATACAGCTGTAGCTTCTGTACGCGCGAACAAGCATAGTCACAACATTACTATAGAGTAACCTACCCAGTGGGGCCATCTATTGGATGAAAGCTGAATCAGCTTGACTATCATTCCATCGTTTAGATGTCATCTAAAGTGGGATGCAGATCCTATAATTAAAATGTATAAATAAATATATATATATATATATAGGATTATCGAATTAAAATATAGAAGTATATGCAACCAAACGACGTTCTCTATTTCAGTCGCGTGTGTGTATAGTGAATTACCTTACAAACGGATACTGCCAAACACTGTTCACTCCTATGTTATCGCGGCTAAGTCGTCATCATTTTGCGTGTTGCAGCTACGGAACCTTGATCTACCAGGCCACCCAGATCGCATCCGGCATGAAGTACCTGGAATCGCTCAACTTCGTTCATCGAGATCTGGCAACTCGGAACTGTCTCGTCGGCCGACACTACACGATCAAGATCGCCGACTTCGGCATGAGTCGGAATCTATACAGCATGGACTATTACCGAATAGAGGGTCGGGCCGTGCTGCCGATTCGCTGGATGGCCTGGGAGAGCATACTGCTTGTAAGTATATCCATGCTGAGATGTGTGAGATGCGTTTGATAAAGAGCTCGAGATTAACCAATAAAATACGTGAATATACAATCGATAGTAACCAATTTGGGAAACTTTAGAATGTAAGAGGGCCTGTAGAATTTAGATGCGCAATAATAGTGCTTGTAAGTATATCTATGCTGAAATGTGTGAGATATGTCACTCGTTTTTTAATTATTTTTTATATCGAGAGTAACCAATATAAGTACATGAATACAATTATTAGTAGCCAACTTGAGAGAGTTTAGAAATCACAGTGTAAGAGGGTCCATAGAATTCCGATGCGCAATAATTTACGACTGAAATACGCAGACAACAGGGAAATGTCCAATGACTATTGAAAATAAATACCTCATCGCAATCTGACATAAATTTCTTTAACTTGCAAAGCTTTCACGCTGGCCCGTGTGCGGCAAGCATGAGCGGAGCAGGCCAGACCGAATGCTTGGTCTCTCTGTCATGTAATGCTCACACGCGCTCTGTGATGTAATGCTCACGCGTTCTCTCTCTCTGTCATGTAATGCTCACGCTCTCTCTATTGTCCGCAGGGTCGATTCACGACGAAGAGTGACGTGTGGTCGTTCGCCGTCACTCTGTGGGAGGTTCTGACCTTCGCGCGCGAGTCTCCCTACGGCATCCTCAACGACGAGGAGGTCATCGAGAACGTCGGCAACTTCTACCGCAACGAGGGCAAGCAGATCTACTTGCCGCAGCCGACCATCTGCCCGAAGGAGATCTACGATCTAATGTGCGAGTGCTGGCAGCGCAACGAGTCGGAGCGACCCAACTTCAGAGAGATCCACCTGTTTCTGCAGCGCAAGAACCTTGGATATCAGCCCGAGGAAGTGTCCTGCTAGTTGGCACCACGACTGCGAGGACGTGTTCTATTGTAGCTGGAGTTACATGCGAGGACGCGTCTTATCGTAGCTGGAGTTACATGCGAGGACGCGTTCTATCGTAGCTGGGGTTACATGCGAGGACGCGTCCTATCGTAGCTGGGGTTACATGCGAGGACGCGTTCTATCGTAGCTGGGGTTACATGCGAGGAAGCGTCCTATCGTAGCTGGAGAGCAGGTGTACATTCGAGGAGCTTGGTGATTGATTTTGCTCCATGACTGTGCGCGTGCACGTGGTGAGGCCCAAGCGAGCGTGGCAGATACTGATGCTGAGATATTGACAGTCGATTCATCTGCTCCGGACCTCGCGTGCAACCGAGAGATTTTGCCGAGGTTTTGTGACGCTTAAAGAGATCGTTCGTGCGAAAAACTCTGAAACACGTAGAGACGCGAAGAAAGATATTTTGAGCTACATCGTGCATCTTCTAGAGAATAGGTCAGCCATTGTCGTCCTGCACGCACTACGGAGGTCAAACAGCCGTACTCGAGTTAATATAGCACTGATTCGTAGACACGACAGCCGTCCACTGAGCTCGTGGCACAACTGTAACGAGGAGAACTTACACAGCGGTGAATGGCTGCCAGACATGGATACATGGAAATCTTGAAGATCGGTCGACACCAAGCGTGTGTAGTTGGTAATATGTTTGACCTGTCCGTTGCTTCACGTAAGATGGATCTGTAGTGATGTTGTAAATACTTGTGTATAGAAGATAAATTAAGATATTTTATGATGAAAGTGCAAAGAATCTATTCGGGGCGACTTCAAAACAAGGCTTTTCAGGTAAAGCACAGCCATGAGTAGAAACATCAGGAAACAAAGGCGTGTTTGCTAGGATGTGCCATTGGTTGCTGGTCGCAACAAGAAACGTCTAACAGAAGTGCGGGGGCAGTACGCGTGGTCACATGTGATGATGTCTGTGTGACGCAGGATTATAACAGAAAACATGCGAATGTTCGCACATAGATGGCAGTGCTGTACTGTACGACTGGCATCTAGCCATCTCACTCCCCCTTCCCGCCTACACTCATGCAAACACCACATCCACACGGTCGCCATAGCTAGAGTTACAACATGCGTGACTGGCTTTGCGCAGCCGAAGACACAACTTCTCTCTTGAGTTTCGTGCGTGAAGACACCAAACGCAGTGACCTCTTCATTACTCTCCCCATAGCATCTTAAAGATGGGTGTCTTTGGAAGCAGAAGCAGAAAAAAAGAGAATCGTGTGGAATAGCACAGCACAGTGCAGTGTAGTCAAACATATATATATATATACATATATATATAGATATATATATATATCGTATACACATATAATATATATAATATAAAAATATATAATGTATAAACACATATATACATATATATATATATCGTATACACATGCACTACATTATGCCACATGCAGTGGCGTATCCAGCATAGGGCGGAGCCGGCGTACGCCTCCGCCCCCGTTTGGAGGCCCAGGAAAAAAATCAATAAAACCTATAGTAATCTACTTACTAATTACTATAGTAACCTAACCTCAGGTGTGTACGCTCTCTGGAAAGTCATGAAAAGTGTTTTAAATTCTAAATTGTAGGGTTGAGTCTTGGGTTGAGATAGTGTCATCAGACATCAGAATATGACCCACAGTATGCCTCAGACTGCAGGAAAATGGCTTAAATATTTCAAAATGTTTACACCCCCCCCCCTCCCTAGCGCTGGCGTGCCTACGGCACACGGGGCTGCCTTCCGCAGCCCAGGTACATTTTCGCCCCCCTGTTTATCAATTTCTGGATACGCCACTGCCACATGCTCCTTATTCATGGCGGGGCATCAGCTGGTACGGATGGTGAGATGGGGAGTTTTGTCTTCTGCGACTGTTTCCGTAGCTACTGCTTCAGCTAAAGCACGGCAGCACGAAACCGCTCAATGAGAACATGTTTAAGCATAGTTTACCTTCTCGCGACGCCGCCCCGTACATACGCCCGCATCACGGAGCGCGTGCAACACTATCCAAACGGTGTGATAGCATATACGATTGATCAGATCATATCAACTTTGTACAGCTATTTGTAATAAGTGTTTTATTGATTCTATCAGTTGATGTTATAGCTAAATATTAGTTTGCGTTTATCCGGGCGGGTGGGGCTTATTTTGTGTGCTTTTTGTGAGTAGGTGGTTGGCGTTGAGCCAATTCCATATGTTCGTGGCCAGGTCTCTCCTCCCAGCTTATATATATGTTTGCAGCATTCGTCCAACCGTGTGTAGACTAACGTTAGTTCTATACTTGGCCGAATCAAATGAGGCTAAAATAAATTGTATGTGAGCTCGATGGCTTGGCTAGCACTACCTGGATTTACTCATTATTATAGCGTTTATTATGAACAAATGCATTTCGGCGAGTGACACTTAGAGACTGTATATAAAATATGTATTTATTGCAGATATAGCTGTAGATGTATGGCGGTTTTGTTTCTCTAATACGGCTACAGAGCTGCATATTGAAATGGTGTGGGTTCTGTTTTGATTGAACTATTTGGGGGGAGAGACTTGAGTGGTATCAGATCCTGGGTCAGCATTTTCATCGAATCGCTGCCAATATTACGATAATTGTGATCTCTGTGTTCGGGCAACATTTTGTAGAATTCACATCGTCTTTGACGCCGCGTGGAGGCTCAGTGTCATTTTAGTGTATGGAAATATCAAAAAGTTGACGTGTACATAATTGGCCAGAATTAAAAAGGACAAGAGTCTATTTTCATGCTAGTGTCATGGGTGTGCGCGTGTATAGTCACTTGTGCTAGCTTTATAACCTTAACAGCTCTTCGTTTGTATGTTTTATACAAAAAAACATTGGTTGTTGTGTTCTGTGTTTGTGTTGATTGGCTCGTGTTACACAAACTTGTAACAGGCATTATATCATATGTCCTATGACGCGGTCACAATGACGCCTATGATACATTAGATAGCTTTCGCTCTCGCTCTCTCTCTCTCTCTCTCTCTCTCTCTCTCTCTCTCTCTCTCTATGTCTGTTTCT